TTATTACTTCTAAACCCAATAATTAAGGTTAGCATTAATCAATAAAATACACCATCACTTAAAAATATCCTTCAAGATAACCTTTATTCCCTAGGTATTGCCTTTGTCGCTCTATGTTACTATTGATGCTTTTTTTTTTTTTTTTTTCAGAGGAGGATTTTAAAACTTGTAGTCTTGAAATATTCAAACAGTTTTGAAAATAACTTCTTAATTTAAAAACAACTTTTCACATTTCAAAAAGTCTACAAATGGGCCCCCCGAGGCACAGCTCAATTGGTGGATCAATCAACATTGTCTTGCTTCCAGTTGCAGGGTGGAGAGTTCGATTCCTGGTGGAAACCTGCAGCCAAAAATTTGGTATGGAGTAATCACTGTGGAGGAGAGTCTCTTGTGCGCAGAAGTGTACAGGCAATGGGGGAACCTGTGATCCAGTTGAGGCATAATCCGCGGTTTACCCCCTCCAAGGTTCTAGGGGCAAGGATTTTGGGGGTCCAGGATTTAGTCTGGTGTAAATTGGGATACTTGGATATAAAAAAAAAATAAAAAAAATAAGTAGTTTACAAATGGGTCTTTATTCCTTATTATGGCTTTTACTGTAATATTTATTGATTACTTTAAGTATTAAGACATATTAATTATTTTTCACTGGATAAGAGACTCATTTGTAATTTTTATTGAACTTGCATCAGGTCCTTATCCATTAGCCGTGTAACAGTGTTTGGTTCTTCATTTTTGCTTTGTTTATAAAAGTAAACTAACTTTCTCAATTTCTCAATGAATTCTTGATTTCGTAAACTCTTAAATGTAATCAAAATTAGCTATTTATGGCAAATTCGTCGTTTTATTATTTAAGTAACATCAGATTGCTACGAATTTAACGATTAGAAGCGATACATTATTATTATTATTATTATTATTATTATTATTTTAATACTATGAATGGAAGTAATAAAGAACTGAATCACAATAAATTATGATAAATAACGAGTAATAGTTGTTTTATAAGTGGGCACCAGTCATGGGGACTTTTAAGAGTTACAGTAAAACTTTTATAAAATAATGTTACTTTAGAAAAGTTATTAACACATCAATAAAATGAATAATTTATTAATTGATAACTTGAAGCTTTTTCTAGTTAATGTTATGAAAATATAATGGACGCCGACCACTAAACTGTTCTAGTGAAAATGATATGTCAATATTATAGATTATTGACAAAGAGATCATTCAATGACTATTAAATATACCTAATAAAGATGATCATGATTTCGATGATAGTTGTATTTTATCTATTGTTTCTTGAAAAAAAAAAAAGTCTTTCAAGCATCGTAACCATAACTAATGATATATATAAAATTAAGTGTTGTGCCTCGCCATCGAAGCTCAAGAAGAGATCCACATGACAGCCATCTAGAAGTCCCCCAACACTCCACATCAATCAAAATGATGAAGCCAAGCGCCTCAACCGAAGCATCACTTGCAGCCAAAGCACAGTGATCGAAGCAAGGATGTCAAGTCTTGTTAGCCCAATATATACGTATGCTGACCAAAGCCATAGGTTGACAACCTTTTCAGATAACATTAAGTACTGCAGGTCCTAGATGTATGGCGTGACAACCATGATGGGATGCTTCGATCAATAGGATGAAACCACAAACTTTTTCATCCAGCTGGCAACACTTCAACCATGCAACTATAAAAGCCCACGACCAACACCAAGTCAAGGGTAATGCAACTTTACGCATATAAATCGTAAAATCTCTCTCTCTCTCTCTATTATATATCTCTAGTGCTCTTAACACTTACGTGGCTTATACTTTAAGCTCATTCCATATCCACTGTATTTCTTTTCGTTGACTAACTTTATCATTGAAGTGCTCGTGATCGTCTCCCCCACCACTTGAGAATGCCACAAGTGACTAACGATTTGTCCAAGTATGTAGAAAAGAAACTTATGTGTGCATGAGTGGGTGCAAGATTTGTTGGTTTCAGCAAATAGAAAAAGCAATTTTATATACTTTTAAAGGAAAAAAAAAAATTGAATTGAAAAAGTATCAAGTAAAAAACTCCTTATTATTGATCATAAAATTTTACGTATTTAACCAATTATAATAATTTTAATACCAAATTGTAGATGCATACCAACCCGACCAACATATCCCATAGGAAGATGATTGGTGTACAATGTAGGGGTTCACAGAACCCCTACAGATACCTCACATGGGCTGGGCGGGTGAGTTTTTTGACATTATTTATTCATGCAGGGTCCACACTTTGTGAGATATCTGTAAATTTTTTGTAAGAATTTTTTTTTGCACCAAACATTACTCTATCCCATAAGGCAAGGCCTAGAATTTTCTCAGGCTGGCACTATATATACTGCACAAGTTAGGTATAAACCTATGATGGTTTCGATTTTATCAGATTTTACGACTCAATTCGCTTTACGCTTCTAATGTAGTGCGTCAATAGTCCGATACATGAATGTTGATAATTTTTTTTTTAATCGAGATGATATATAATGTAGTGATGGCAAGGCTCGGCTCTTTAACCCACGAGCTCGGCTCGGGCTTGTGGATCGTGAAAAACGAGCCGAGCTTGGCTCGTTGCTCAGGGGCGAGCCGAGCTCGGCTCGCGAGCTCATGTTTTTTTTTTTTTTTAAATTTTTGGCTTATCAAATTGGCTCGTGGGCTCGATTGAGCCCCCTGCTTGGCTCGGGCTCGAGCTCGTCATTTGACGAGCCCGAGCTGCCCACGAGCTAGGTTTTAACAAGCCGAAAAGTCGCTCGTCCCGTTTGACATCCCTATATATATGCTTCATTTGTGCGTACCTTGACATTCTAAAAGTAAAAATAACGCCCGACTTAAACCAATCTGACGTAACTCGTTAGGGTAGTGCTCACATGTTTGCTAACAAACATAAGTATGCTTCCACCCCTCCCTTCACGTATTACCTCTACTATGGTGAATATGTGATATCTAGACCCTGTTTCCGTGAACACATAATTACTATTCTCAAACTAAATTTGTCCACTTTAGGATTGTTTTTTATTCTTAAAAGTATTCCTGGTAAATGTTTGTAGGATTTAACAAGCCTTAGAATATTAAAGACACTAAACACTTGTATTTTCTCCTTGAAACTCTAATAACACTCAAAATGATGAATATGTAAAGAGACTTTTGTAAAACTCTTATAAATGGAATGATTTCAATTGCGGTGATGTAATAATTGTGTAGAGGAATGAAATTTATTTCATATATATGGATTCTCAATCGTACACCACGGAAAGATTTCAAAAATTCATGAAAAGATGCATTTTTCATGAAAAGGTACCAAAAAATGAATCAAAAATTTCAAACCCAACAGTCAAAAAATTGGTCTGAGCCGGCTTCAAGAGTGCCAAGGCCAAAATTTCAGCTCCTCCGTTTTTCTTCTCATTTTGTTTTCGATATTTTCGTACTTACTCTACATATTCATGTGGATATATTACAATTCTAATATACTCATCATTATAAATTAAACACCAAATTACATCAAAAATTGTAAGCATCTCTTTTTATAGCAGGAATTGCTCCCCATACCTACTTGGCTTACCGTGACCTTGTGATCCAATAAATTCTCAAGTATCACTCAAATATGAAATATAAGCAAAAAAAAAGAATAGGGTGAGCTTAAAGCAAATTACTTGAACAATTCGTACTATCCATAAAGATGTAAACAGATAGTCAAATATAGTTTGAAGGTAATAATTCTAATTAACTGATTATGTGCTTGTTTGGTAGAAATTTTGTTAATTGATTTTTTGACTGTTAGCGATAAAGTGGATCCTACTTGTGAGAGAAGAATTAAAAAATGACGGCTGAAATAGTGAAATAACGGTCAAAAAATTAATTTCAATTGAGTTTTAAGCTGTACCAAACATACTCTATATAATTTATCAAGTACTCAAATTAACGTGTGGACAAATGAACACTTAAAATAACTACCTACGCAAATTTGAAATATCGAGGCCAACAATTTAGCTATTTTCTTCAAGATGTAAAGTTTCAATCTAAATAGACTGATGTTCTAGAAAACTAAGTTCCATTTTTGAATAATTTATAAGTTCCTAATAAGTACTCAACTACCCCATATCCAACGACTCAAAATGTTATATCACCAGTCTCAAATTGATTATATATTCCTCCATTACATATGATTAATGCGATTTTCCAAACTGAAGGGGATTAAAATTATTTTTAGTAGATTTTAATAAAAGTTCATGAAACGTATGATTGAAAAGTTGTTAATATCATAAAATGTGTAATTAAAATTAAATATCACTTTAACTTAGATTAAAATTTGAATTTGAATTTGAATTTCTACCAAACAAAGGCTTAATAGAAGTACAAATTTAGCACTTTGTATTCAAAATTTTAAGACTCAATTTATCTCTTGGCTAAAAAACTGTCGACAAATAGTTATCAAAATTGAGGTGTAAAATGCTATTCTTGTGCTTTTTAGGTTATAAAGTGAAAAATCAATATATCTCAAATCGCAAACTCTCATCTCCAAGTTTGAAGGTAAATACTAAATAGGGACGGTACCATTAATTCGATCTTTATGTCCATAAAGATATCAGAACTATCAAACCACTCACCTGGTCAACGATAACGAGGGGAACTTATATTTATTTGCCAAATATATTAAAAAGTGGTTAATGTCACGTGAAAATGTGATTTTGACGAGAATCTTTTTCTATTAGGGCCTGGAAGCTTAAATTGAAACCATTTCCATTTGATGTATCACCGTTCCTGATGTCACGTCGCAAGATAGATTGGTCTTGGAAATGGCGTTGGACAAAATGGTCAATTTGAAACAAAAGTTGGGTGATAAATTTGAATAAAATTGAAGTTGAGTGACCAAAGTAAATCAAATTGTAAGTTGGACGACCTCCGGTAAAATTTTTCCAAACTTTTTCAGATTGAAACACAAAATTTTCCCAAAAGAATTCTATTAATCTTTCAAACATAATTTCTATTGAGCTCATGATTAAGTATTCGAATTTCTCGCCATTTCTCTTGCTGTGGATCGCATCGATCGTGCAGAAATGCTTGTGCTCTTCGATCATCAATCCATCTAAAGTCAAAACTGTCTCATGGAAACCCAGGTGTTTAAATAGTTAATTAAGAATTGAAAATTATTTAGTTTCTGAATCAATTATTATTTCTTATTTTTTTTGGTAATTAAGTAATATTGTATTGCACTGATTGAGCGATTTATGGAATGGCACTTCAGAGCATTTGTTTACGAAGGATTTCTTACGAAAGATGAATGCAACCATTTAATATCTCTCGTGAGTGTTTCTTTGTTGAATCATATGTTTTCACATTTATGTGTCACGTATTAGATTAACATTATGTGATTAAATTAGGCAAAATCAGAGTTGAAGAGATCAGCGGTGGCGGACAATGAGTCTGGAAAAAGTACGCTGAGCGAGGTTCGGACCAGCTCTGGAATGTTCATTCCGAAAAGCAAGGTTTGATTTTGTCATTTTATTGTTGCTGGGTTTGCTGTTGTATGGCTTTTAAGTGTTAAGTGTATTAAATGATAGATTCCAAAATAATGCTATTCAGCACCACTCAAGCACCACTCAAGCACCAGTCTAGATGACAACTACATGTCATTAAATGATATATTCACTTGAATGCAACAGCAAATTATTCATTTAATTAAAACCATCAAGTGGGACACCTAAATTAGTGCTTTGGCACGACTTGTGCATGTTTCATTTAATTAAACATACAAGTGTGGACATCCATTACTATTTTGGAAAGGCTGTCCTATTCAAGTTTGAATGTAATAGACAGTCCAACATTTATTTCAAAAGTCATTTTGGTTTAAATGAGTGCTTAGGAATGTTAAAAATTGCATAATTTGCTAGTTAAGTGATCACAAATGTGTCCGTGTTGAACCGAATCTTCATGGAGACAGCATTAGACATTTCATATGTTAAAGAGCCTAGTTTAAGATAAGTTAAATGTCAACTTCATCTCATTGGCTCATCTTTTGAAGAGTGTTTGGCCAGTGAACATTGCAGATATTTTATAGTGATTTTATTTTAATGTTCTGTAAATGTTCTAGAACTTGTCATTTTAACCATTTTGAAAATATGCACAGTACAAGGAATGCTTTTGTGAAATCTACTGGAATTTGAAAGCTCTCTTCAGGCCAACTTATTCTTCTATTTCATGGTTCAGCCTAAATTTAGGCTTTTGATTGTTGAGAATTTTATCTTACTCTTTCATTTTTCCATCTCTTCCTGTAGGATCCTATCGTTGATGGCATTGAAGAGAAGATTGCTGCGTGGACATTCTTACGAAAAGGCATGACATATTTAATAAAGATGTGACTTCAATAAATTTGCTTGCTCATGCTATCAACAGAGACTTGTTCAAATTGGATTTAACTGACGAATACTGAGATAATTAGAGGAAATTTGCTTAAGCAAATCTCAGAATCTTAAGAAAAAACAGGCATCTAAATTATCCAAATTTTATTTGGTTTTCCAATTCTAGAGATGTGAAATATATAGTTTTATTAATTCTGAAAAAAAAAAAAAAAAATGAAATGAAGACAACAACATGCAGTGTGCATACATACTGCCTTCTGCTGCCTTGAAAAAAAAAAAATTGAAATGAAGACAACAACATGCAGTGTGCATACAGACTGCCTTCCGCTGCCTTCAAAGAGGTAGCAACTGTTGCTTGCACATAGGCAGCTACTTAAATGCCTGTGTTTTATTAATAATAATAATAAAAAAAAAAACACGAGCTGGAGCTAAAAGCTTGAGTCGAGCATAAATTTTTTGGTCGAGTAAAAGCTCTGCTCGGGCAAAAAAAAAACTCGAATCATTTTTACTCGAGTTGAGCTCGAGCCTTAAATTTCGATTAGCGAGCGGGCTGGCTCGGCTCGTTGACATTGACCATCAATGTGGTTGAGAAGTTGCTAGTCTAGTCGAGCATGTGGACTTCTCGGTCGGAGTGCACCAGTGTTTGCAAGTGGGAGTAAGTGAATAATTACTACAGTAAATAATGGAATGTCAACTAACTATTCATTTTTATATTATTGCGTTCGGAATTTTCCTTGCCAACTTATGGACAAGGTCAAGATGTCTAATGTTACAACATAATTAAAACCCTTGGTGGATTTTGAAAAATTTGATCTATCTTATTAAAACAGGGGGCTACACAAAAATACCATTCGAAAGAACAAGTTCAATATAGAAGTTTTTGATTCATCCAACATTACAGACGGCATGTACAATCATATATTTTTTGGTAATCTGTTTACTCTAATTCATTTTTCAGTACAATTTTAGGACAAGCAGGATAAGAGAAAATAATCGTGTGAAAGGAAATAATAATTAAAGATTGATTGGTTGTTGAAGTAACTACACTTAGTATTTATGTTTCTGTTGTTATAATACTCCTATCATCCCACAAAAATAGGCTTATTTCCATTTTT